ATAATATTTGTAACCTGGTCCTCTCTTCTTCAGTGAACTAAACTAACTTCTCTAATCAGCTCAACCTCCCTTATAGCATGATACTTGATCCTAATGTGCTTGGTTCGACCATGCAGCACATGATTTTTTGCTATTGCCACAGCCGATTGATTATCACAGAGGATAACTGTTGGACTACTCTGTTTCAGTTTTACATCATACAAAATTTTTCTTAACTGGATGACCTAGTTCACGGCAGTAGTAGCAGTAGAGATATACTCTGCTTCAGCCATGGATTGTGCAATTGTCTCCTGCTTCTTGGACATCCAGCTAAAGTTTCCTATATTAAAAAAGAATACATAACCCGAAGTGCTTCTCATATCATCAATGGAACTAGTCCAGTCACTATCTGAAAAAACCTCTCAAACCGAAATTTTCAAACCTCTTAAACCATATTCCCAAGTCTACAATACCCTTGATATACCTCAGTACCCTCTTGGCTACCTTGAAATGTGTTTCACTTGGATTGCTCATGAATCTTAACAGTAGGCTATTGGATATCTAGTTTGGTTGCTATTAAATACAGTAAGTAGTCAATTAGACTTCTATAAACAACCTCATCTACTGTTTCTGCACCATCATTTTAACTCAATTTTTGACTTAGAATCAAGGGTGTATCCATTGATTTGCTATTTTCCATACCAAACTTTTTCAATACCTTATTTGCATACTTCCTTTGGCATACAAATATACCATTATAGCCTTGAAATATTTCCATGCCAAGAAAACAACTCATCTCCCCAAGATCAGTCATATCAAATTCCTTCTGCATTGCCTCTTTGATTAGCATTGCTTCTAGTGACCATAGATCATCCACATACAGAGCATATCTATTTGGACTCTTGTCATACCCAAAGTCACCCAAATACTCATTAATGCTACGGTCCAAACTCAAGAGCCTGCTTAGGCCATACAAGGCCTTTCTCAGCAATAAACCTGATCTTCCTTCCCCTTAACTTCAGTGTCCTTGGGGCTCTCAACATATATCTCTTCATCAGCACCCATTTAGGAAAGCTGATTTTACATCAAGTTGAAGATTTTCCACTTAAATTGAGCACAAATGGCAAGAAGCATTCGAATGGTATCATGTCTAGCAACTAGTGCAAAGGATCCATGAAATCCCTCCATATTGTTATGCAAAGCCCTTCACAACAAGCCTTGCTTTATACTTTTTTACTGACCCATCAGGTTCAATTTTCTCTTAAAATCACTGACTTGAATCATTTTTCTGCCTATAAGCCTATCAAGCAGCTCCAAGTTCCATTTCTTTCTATTGAGGAAAACTCATCCTTTGTAGCTCTCCAAGCATTGGATTTGACTGCTTTATTGTAGTTTGTTGGTCTAACTCAGCCACATTACATATTTCATAAATTTCGAATGGTGTTGTGCCTCTGATGGAACTTCAATCTTTATTTGAATTCATTTCTTCAATCTGGTTTTCGGCATTCTATCTTGCTAGAAGCTTGGCTTGACCTTAACCTGATTTCTTTCCCAATTCCAAACAACACACTCATCCACCTTGACATCCCTGTAACTTGCATTTTTTTGCTGATTGGATTGTACATCCTATATGCCTTTGATTGGCTACCATACCCAATTAGGATTCCCCATTCTCCCTCTCATCTACCTGGTTCTTTTTTTGCTGGGACATATACATAACACACACTTCCAAATATCCTCAAGTGATCCACCCTGGTTTTACAGCATACCAGACCTCATAAGGTGTCATATTCTCAAGAGCTTTAGTTGGAAGTTTGTTCAACAAATAAATGGCAGTGTACAGCTTCAGCCCAAAGACTTTGGGCAGTTTTTTCTAGCCAACATGCCCTAGTAATCTCTATGCAGTCCTCTTTTTTTTTTTTTTTTTTTTTTTTTTCTCATTGACTCCATTTTGTTGTGGAGTGTATGCACTATTGATTGATGCATTATCCCGCTCCCCTGCACACCTCCTCAAACTCATTGGAGGTGTATTTAGTTCCATCATCACTCCTCACAAATTTGAGTGTTAGACCGTTTGGTTTTCAACAAGTGGCTTGAATCTCTTAACACAACAGCAACCTCACTTTCTGGTTTAGGAAGCACACACCATGTCAGCCTGGAAAAGTCATCTATGAAGAGATAAAATATATGCTTCCATTCAAGAAAGCTTGTCACATAGTCCACCACTGTCTGTGTGCACAAGTTGGTTTCTCACTTGCTCTCCATGCCTTCTTTGCCAGAAAAGATGGCCTACTTAGCTTCCCATTAGGCATGTATTGCACAACCCTTCCCTTGTTCTATCTTTAGCAAGTCTTAACAAGGTCTTAGTCTTAGCTTTTTAAGAGCTTGATAATGGAAACACCCGTTCTTCTATGTCATAAGTCTAACTCATCTACCTTGGCCAAATGGCCTGAAAACCAGTCCTATCCCACACCATAGAAAACTTTTTCCTTGCTCCTCACCTTCATTATTCATTCCCATCACATTCTACAATTACACAATGATGCTTTTTCAAAATGCAGAGAATAATTCTTCTCAAGCATTTGGCCTACCTTAACAAACTTTGACTAATCTTGGGAACAAACAAAACATCAATTATAATCTTGGTACTGAATTGGTTTGGACTACAACATTTCCTTGCCTAACACCAGCAGCTCACCATTTCCCACTTTGACTTTGGACTGTAGCTTTGATCCAGCTCACAAATTGGACATGTTTGGTGACATTTGTGTGGCTGGTGCACCATGTCAATTAACCACACCTCTTGATCACAATTAGCTACGCATCCTAAAACCACAAAGAGTTGCTCTTGATTATGTATGATTCTCCACTACCTAGGATTGATGCTCTCGCCTGCCCTCCTTTATTCTTGCTACCTTTCTATTTGTCCAAACTCTTACAAGACCTGCATGTATGCCAGCCTAAACCAACTTTGTTTTCAGAGTGGTTCTTTTTCTTGTAGTGAGAACAAGGAGGAAAGGTTCTCATTCCATATTCTTCCTCCTTGGTTGTTAACTTTCTCCTTTCCTTCTTCTCTCCAGCTACCTCATGTTTTCACCTTGAAATCCCCCTTTTTTTGGCTTTCTAATATAGCTCCCTCACTTGAATCTTCCTACCAGCAATCTCCTTTGCTTCTTGCTTGAAGAGCATGCAGAAGTTCTGCTAACTGACTTGGGACAGTCTTTGGAGTCTTCAAGTGAAGAGATCTTTGCTTCAAATCTCTGCAAGCTAACCAAAACCTTCTCCACAATCCTCTTATTATCAACTCCTCTCCAAGTAGTTTTATTTTATTCTTACATTCATTAGCTTTTCCACATATCCTTAACAAATTCATCTCCTGCATTTTAAGCATTTCAAACTCCTTTCTCAGGTTAAGCACTTGCATGTTGCATGTTGTATTGCTGCCTCAACTCCTCCTTAGCTTATCCCAAGCCTCTTTAGGAGTTTCACATGCCATGATTCTTGTGAAAACCTGGTCTGTGAAAGCAGAATGTATGCGACAATGCTCTAAGCTTTTGCTAATCTCTTCATGAATCCTTATCTGATTAGTGTTAGGTTTGCTCCAAGCTGAGGGACTTGTCTCTCTTCCTCACATATTGCCATAAACTGTGGCCTCTCTAGTAGTCTTTATTTTGACAGCCCAAATATGGAACTACTCACCATTGAAGAGGGTGGAGAAGAGGAGTTGGGTTTGTTTACATGAAAAACATTTAATGGGGTTGAACGAATTGTAGAGTGTGTTTTTGGCCCTAAGAATCATGATGGCTTTGATACCAATTGTAGGTTTTTAGCTAGAGGATACTAAGGAAAGAGAGGTCAAAATAGATGTGAGAGAGATGGAGAAGGGAAAAAATAAACTGAAATTTTGCTCTGTTTTTCATTTATAAAACAAGAGTGTTTTATACAAAATATCATCTACTGTTTCACCTAATATTCCAAGGATATTTTGCAAAATACACTCTTAACTATTCATCTGAAACTAATGTTGGTACTAAACCTAACAACTGGTTGCTACCACCTAAAGCCATCATTAAAAATTAAAAAATTTACAGCTCCATCATTCAAATTCAGCTCTGCAAACTTCAAACTTGGTGCCAAAAACCTACAAACCTGCTGCCTGTCTTCATGTTTTCAGTAAAACATCACTGCCATCAACAGAATCTTATCCTTATTCCATTCTTTACTTCTTAAGCATCAAAGTGGGGAAGAAAAGTCGCATTGTCTAACTCACTTTATTTCCTTTGATTTGAATTTTGTAAACGCTTTTGTTATTAAGTCTTTTGGGCCATGTTGGAGCAAGTTCACATTAACGTCTCCATAAAAAATCAACCTAAAATCAAATACTATGAAATGTAATTCAAAGTGCCTGCTGGTAAGTCCCTGAGCATAAGTATAGTTCCATTGCAGTTTCTTAGGTTCTCTGTCAATTTAATAGTTATGCATTTGAAATATAATTCAATAATTTCAGGTGAAGATTTACTTGGAATTCTTTGATCAAGTCAAAATCTTCTCTGTGTCTGTTCAAGGTTAACTTATGAAATGATTTTGGTTTATTATTTTTTTTCAAAATTTTCTATATATATTTGAACTATTGTTTTAACAGATCAAAGAGAAATGAGATATAAGTTGTATAATTATCTTGATATGCCACTTGCTATTGCTTTAGAATTTTACAATATTCAGATGGCAAACAGTATTAATCCTATTTTCCCATGCATTGGATGATTCTGAATGTTATTAGTTCTTTCTCTAGTTTTTCTTCATCAAATGAATAACCCCAAAAAAGCCCCCCAAGCCAACACCATAGTTGATAATTACAACTGCAAAAAAAATCTTCTCTTGCCAGGGAGCCTCAACTTGAACCCTTCCTGAACTTGAGGAACTGTTGTTACCAGTACAATTGATTCCAATTGCAGTTCCATATAAGAATTCATTTGTAGTGTATGCTGATCCATCTATGTTCACTGTGTCAAAGTGCTGCCCTATTGGAATTCTGTCGCCAAATTGTTGTAAGACAAGTTAAAAGTTGAGAGATAGTCCAGCAATGTGATTGCTCCAGGAATCTCCCAACTAGAGTTGTTGAAACTGAGGTCTAGTGACTCCAAACTTGACATATTACCAATGGTCTTTGGGATTTCACCAGAAAGCTGATTGTGTGATAGATTGAGCATATAGAGTCCTTTTAAAATGCCTATTTCTGATGGAATGTTTCCTATAAGAGAGTTGCCTGAGAGATCTATGCCACTGATATACGTGCGCACGACCTCGCGTTGTTGCAATAATCCTTTGCTCACCATGTCTAGCTCTACCCCTGTATACATGGATGAGATGACATAACCAAGAATGTTTCCATCCTGAGATCGAGTTCTCATCATCTTCAAACCAGTTAGTCTTCCTGGCAAATATCCTGAAAGCTTGTTGCCTTACAAGTCTAAATATTGCAGCTTCTCTAGTTTGTTTATCTCCTGAGGAATTGAATCATTGAAAGAGTTGGATTCTAGTACCAGAATGTGGAGGTATTGGAGATCTCCAATGTATTCAGGTATCCTTCCTCCAAATCTATTACATCCCAGCTTAAGAATTCCCAAAATCTGAAGTTTCCGAATGAAAGATGGAAAAGATCCATTAAACTGGTTGCTAGTAAGGTCAAGATAGCTCAAACGTTCAGCACCCTCTAGTTCATTTGGAATTTCTCCACTAAGTTTATTTCCTCCAAGGTTCAAAAAGATGAGAGAAGTGCAATTTCCTAAACTAGTAGGAATTGTTCCCACCAAACTGTTGTTAGAAAGACCAAGGAGCATCAGCACACTATTTGGATGACAGAAAGAGAAGGGTATCTGACCGTACAATATGTTCCCAAAGAATGATAAAAATCTGATTTCTTCAATTGTTAAATGTGCCTGGGATGATGCCTATGAAATTGTTCCTGGGCAAGTCTATAGCTTATATATCCTTAAGCAGGGTAGGGATTGAACAATATAGAGATAGCAGCGAGAACAAAACAACAATAAAGCAAATCACAGATAATAAACATAAAGAAAATAACACGCATGATTTACACTGGTTCACCCAATATGGGCTACATCCAGCTGAGTCAATATTATTGCAATATTTCCTCACCTCTCTCATTTTCAACGAATGAATTGTCCTATGATTACTATCCCACTCATTACAAGAGAAAAATATGTTTATTTACTATGTTTAAAGTGACAAAACCTAGTTTTACAAGGATTCATATTCCTAAGTCCAAGCCTAATAAGGAATTAATGACTTAAAGAAATCCTACAACGGTTATACATGGAAGAGGCCCAAACCACCTACAGGCCTAGGGGTACTGCCCTCACACCCGCTGCCCAGTCAACGGGACCCCCTCTAATGCGTCTGCGTAACCCATTAATGCTGAAGTAGTCGACAACTCAAAACACTGAATTCATATTGATTGTGAACCTGTATGCATCTGGATTGGGGTTTGGGAGATCAATAGCAGTAACATGAAGTGATTCTAAACAATTAATTCCATGCCAAGTGCAACAGTTTTGGCCTTGCCATGACGACAACCGATTTGAAGGGTCTGTAAGATGTGATTTGAAGCTTAACAAAGCTGCTCTTTCCTGATCATAGTAACAAGCTATGAATGGAAGATTAGAGATCAGGGGAAATAATAACAAGGAAACATGGATCAGAAGGTTCATGGTTCTAGTATACACATGTCCTTATTATTGCAGATTTAATTGCTGATTTATAACTATTGATTGGCATCAGTTAAACACTTGGATGAAAGTCCTAGAAGTTTCATTTGAAGTAATTACAAAATAACATTTGAATAAGATGAAATCTTACATCTGGCTATGGCTTCTTATCATCTAAAGTCAATGAAACTTCTTTTTCATTTCTTTTTCAGGCAGACTGTAAGATTAAAATCAAAGAGGCCTACTTCAGGGCGGCACATACGATATTAGAATGTCTTTTTCAAAGCATGACATGCCTATATCTATCCCTTTCGAATAATTCAACACATTAAACAAATATTATAAAGTAGAAGAATGAGCTATAATCTGAATCTTTTGACATGGGTGTAAAGAAATATATATCGAGGATAGTCTTACGCGTTATTAGTTAAAAGTAATAAGAACAAGACGCATTTATTAACAGAGAAATAAAAGTGTTCATCACAAGATAATAAAAAAAATCAGCTGTAGAAATTGAAAAGACAAATTAATTATAATAACAAATCCTGGAAAAATTATATTGCACTGCCTTCAGGTTTTTCCTTATATCACATAAACCTCTGTAGTTTGGAAAAAAAGAAAAAAGAAAAAGTAAATAAAAAAATAACTATCCTTTCTCTTTTTAACGAGTAATTGTTGATGCAGTGATACTTTGCTGGAAATGCATCAAATATTCAAGTCTGCAAGTTTGTGTTTGGAAAGCTGCTGAAGGTTACATACAGCAGTGGTTCAACGTGCATGGGAGTGTTTTTTGTAATGATTTGTTGCTTAGTGACTTAAGGGTATTTAAGTCAAGATTATTATGTGTAATATGATTGTAATATTAGTGGTTAGATTTGAATTTAAAAGTTGAAAATGTCTGCTGTAGTTGGTGTAATTAGCAGAGAGTTGTTAACTGATTTACATTAAATATCTTCAATGAAAAATACACAGAACTTTTTGCTTAAGATTTTTTAGCTCTGTTTTCAACTTTCTCTTTGTGTTCTTCGGCTTAAACCTACAAATGGAATTAGAGCAGCTTACAAAAACCAAAAACTTAGCATTCTAAACCATCGATCATACTTCCAAAATACCTTACATTCTCAAAACGTTAACTTGCATCTGTTCTTTTTCTTCCTTGCGACAGACACAAAAACAGGGACATGGCAACTCAATCTGCCTTGATGGCTCCACTGGTATTCAATGGGGAACATTACCACATTTGGGCTGTAAAAATGAAAGCTTTTCTTCGTGGATAGGGACTGTGGCAGTACGTGGAAGAAAACATGCAGCCACCTCCTCTTGGACATAATCCTATGTTGAATCAAATGAGGTTGCATGAGGAAGAAACAGCCAACGCACCGAGAGCTCTCTCTCACATACATGTAGCTGTGACTGACCTTGTATTTGCCAGGATCATGGCATACGAAAACCCCAAAGAAACATGGGATAAATTGAGAGAAGAGTACATGGGAAGCACTACAACAAGGAATATGCAGGTGCTTAATCTAAGGAGAGAATTTGAGATGCAAAGGATGCAGGAAATTGAAAAAGTGAAGGATTATGTTGATAGACTGATGAATGTTGTCAACAAAATCAGGCTAATGGGAGTGGAGTTGACAGATCGAAGGGTTGTGGAAAAGGTCTTGGTGAGTCTCCCGGAGAGATTTGAGTCCAAAATCTCTTCTCTAGATGACTCTAAAGACATGACTTAGATCACATTGACTGACCTTGTCCATGCTCTCCAAGCTCAAGAGCAAAGAAGGCTCTTGAGGCAAGAAGACACTAGTGAGGGTGCAATGGTTGCAAGCGACAAAGGCAAACATGCACAAGGACAAACAAGGAAGTATGCTAGAGATAGAAAGAGGAAAGAGAAGAGTAGTAACCAATGGGAAAAGCCTGGTGGAGTGAAAGAATTTCCAGCCTGCACTCACTGTAAAAAGAAAGGGCATCCGGAGAGAAGATGCTGGTTCAGACCTGGTATACAGTGTAGGAGCTGTAAGCAATTCGGGCATATTGAGAGAGTTTGTAAGAACAAAGGAAACCAACCAACACAGCAAGCAAAAGTTGGAGAAGGATCAGCAACAATGTGAGGAGGCTGAGCAACTTTTTGTGGCCACTTGTTACACTGCACAAACCATCAATGAAGCTTGGTTAATTGACAGTGGCTGCACCAATCACATGGCTACAGAGCTGTGAAATTTTGTTAGTCTGGACAGATCGTATAGCTCCAGAGTCAAGATAGGAAATGGTGAATTCATCGAGGTCAAAGGCATGGGGGATGTTGCTGTCCAAACTTGGTCAGGTACAAAGATAATCTCTCATGTGTTGTATGTGCCTAGAATTAGTCAAAATTTATTGATTGTGGGACAAATGTTAGAGAGGGGTTATTCCTTACACTTTAAAAACCAAGCATGTACTATATTAGATCCTAAAGGGGCTAAATTGATGTGTGTAAAGATGCTGGGTAAAAGCTTCCCGGTTGAGTGGAAAAACACCAATGATTTGGCTCTATCAATTAGGTTAGAAGAGTTAGAAACTTGACACAAAAATCTTGGTCATTATCATTATAATGGCCTCAAAAAGTTAAAGAATGAAAACATGGTTCATGACCTACCAGAAATTGAGGAGAAAAGTACTATGTACAGTGCATGCCAAATTGGCAAATTGAGCAGACCTGCATTTCCTTCGAATCAGACCTGGAGAGCAACAATGAAACTTCAGTTGATTCATTCAGATGTTTGTGGTCCTATGCAGATAGAATCCTTGAGTGGAAACAGGTATTTTATACTCTTGATATATGATTATACATGGATGACATGGGCGTATTTTTTAAAGCAAAAAAGTGAGGTCCCTGCAGTGTTTAGAAAGTTTAAATTGCTGGTAGAAAATGAGGTTGGAACAAAGATCAAATCCTTTAGAAGTGGTAATAGAATTGAATACACTTCAAAGGAATTCAGTTCACTTTGTTTAGAAGTAGGTATTAGACATCAATTCACTGCTCCATACACTCCACATCAAAATGGAGTAAGTGAGAGAAGAAACAGGACCATCATGGAGATGGCTAGAGGTGCTGAGGCTGTCAATATAGGAGTTTATCTCCTGAATAGGCTGCCAATAAGGTAGTCAAGGGGCAAACACCAGCCGAGGCTGGGACAGGAATTAAACCAGCGGTTGGCTATTTGAGAGTGTTTGGAAGTGTGTGCTATGTCATGGTTCCAGCAGTGAAGAGAACCAAGCTGGATGATAAGGCAGAGGTTGGTATTTTCATTGGTTACATCAGCCAATCAAAAGGATTTAGAGTGTACATTCCTGAGACAAAAAGAATTGTGATAACTAGGGATGTGAGGATAGATGAAAATGCAGTGTGGAATTGGGAGAGTAAGAAGATTGTTGCTAACTGTAAAGTACAACAACCAACTGAAGATGCATTTGATGAACCTAAAACTGAAGAGGATGAAGAACCATTAGTTCGTGGGACCAGAACTTTGGATGATGTTTATGCAAGGTGCAATGTGGCTATGTTAGAACCTAAAACATATGCTGAAGCTATTGGATCAGATGCTTGGAGGAATGCAATACAGGAGGAGATTTTTATGATTGAGAAGAACAACACTTGGAGGCTGGTTGAAAGACCTGAAAATAGAAGGGTAATTCAAGTGAAGTGGATTTTCAAGTTGAAGCTTAATCCTGATGGTACAATCCACAAACACAAGGCTAGGCTTGTGGAAAAAGGATTTGCACAGCAGCAAGGAGTGGATTACACTGAAACATTTGCATTGGTGGCTAGACATGATACTATAAGGTTGATCCTTGCCATGGTAGCCCAATTTGGTTGGAAAATTTTCCAACTTGATGTCAAATCTGCTTTTCTAAATGGCTGCTTGGATGAGGAGATTTTTGTGGACTAACCCGAAGGCTACCAGGTGAAGGGTGAAGAAAGTAAGGTGTACCTATTGGAGAAGGCATTTTATGGCCTAAAACAGGCACCTAGGGCTTGGTACAACCGCATAAGTGATCATCTTAACAGTTTAGGCTATGCAAGAAGTCCAAATGAGCATACCCTTTATGTTAAAGAAGCCAAGGGTGACCTGAAATGTTGTGTCATTATATGTGGATGATCTGCTGCTTACAGGGAGCAATCCAGACCAATTGAATAAGTTCAAACAGTCCATGCAATCTGAATTTGAGATGACAGATTTGGGGGAGATGACATACTTCCTTGGTATGCAGATTTTTCAATCTAAAATTGGAATCTTTGTGTACCAACAAAAATATGCAAATGAGGTTCTTGTAAAATTTGGAATGGAGAATTCCAAACTTGCAGATACACCCTTGGTCTCTAACCTAAAGCTGATAAAAAATGATGGTGAGAAAAGAGTGGATGAGAGTATGTTTAGCGGTCTGGTGGGATGCTTGCTGTACTTAACAGCCACACGCCTGATGTTTACAGCTAGCTATCTTTCTGGATTTATGAGTTGTCCAAGTGAATTACATTATGGGGCAGCAAATAGGGTGTTATGGTATGTGAAAGGAACTTCAAACCTTGGCATTTGGTTTAAGAGGGCAGAAAAACCAGTTTTGCAGGGATACACAGACAGTGACTAGGGAGGTTCTTTAGATGACATGAAAAGTACCTCAAGGTATGTGTTTTACATTAATGAAGGTACCATTAGCTGGTTGTCAAAGAAACAAGACACGGTGGCTCAGTCCACAGCAAAGGCAGAGTACATTTCTGCCGCAGCAGCTGTGAACCAAGCTGCTTGGTTAAGAAAAATCTTGTCTGATTTGAAGCAGGAACAAGATAGGCCAACACCAATATTGTGTGATAATCAATCAGCAATGGCAATGGCAAAGAATCCAGTTCTCCACGACAGGACCAAGCATATTAAGATTAAATTTCATGCAGTAAGGGAGACTGAAAATAATAGAGAAGTGACCTTGATGCACTGCTGGGGTGTGGACTAGATTGCAGACATTATGACTAAAAGTTTGCCTAAAGCCAAGTTTGAGGAACTAGATCAAACTTGGTGTTTCCAGCAAAGGCATCAAGGAGGAGTGTTGATGCAGTGATACCTTGCTGGAAATGCATCAAATATTCAAGTATGCAAGTTTGTGTTTGGAAAGCTGCTAAAGGTTACATACAGCAGTGGTTCAACGTGCATGGGAGTGTTTTTTGTAATGATTTGTTGCTTAGTGACTTAAGGGTATTTAACTCAAGATTATTATGTGTAATATGATTGTAATATTAGTGGTTAGATTTGAATTCAAAAGTTGAAAATGTCTGCTATAGTTGGTGTAATTAGCAGAGAGTTGTTAACTGATTTATATTGAATAACTTCAATGAAAAATACACAGAACTTTTAGCTTAAGTTTTTTGAGCTCTGTTTTCAACTCTCTTTGTGTTCTCCAGCTTAAACCTATAGTAATTAAATTAACAGATCTTACATAAATACTTTACAATATTCAACTGCTAAGATAACAGCACTGGTGTAAACATCTGAGAATGCATCTATGCGAAATTATTACTAGTCCTTTTCTGTTATTTTAATCCTGTTTTCGCATGCGTTGGATGATTCCAAATGCAATCCGATCGATGGTCCTCCAGTAAATGTTCCATCAGTTGTCCTTCATCAAATAAAAAATCCCAAAAAAACCCCAGAAGCCAACTCCATAGCCAAAAATTACAACTGCATAAAACAACTTTTCCCACCAGGCATCTTCAACTTCAACACTTTCTGGAGTTGAGGAATTGCTTTTACCAGTACAACTGATTCCAAGGGGATCTCCACACAGCAACTCATTGCCAATATATGCCGATCCATCTATGTTCAGAGTTTTGAAATGCTGCCCCGATGGAATTTTCCCGCTCAAATTGTTGTATGACAAGTTGAACATCGAAAGATAATCCAGCAACGTGATTTCTGCCGGAATCTCCCCACTTAAATTGTTGAAGCTCAGGTCCAGTGACTCCAAAACAGACATATTTCCAATGCTCTTTGGGATCTCACCATAGAGACAATTATGTGAGAGATTGACCATAGGGAGACCCTCTAAAGTTCCTATTTCAATTGGAATATTTCCTGTCAGACAGTTGTACGAGAGATCAATGCCACTGTGATATGAGCGGACGATTACATAGTGTTGTAACAATCCCTTCATCGTCACAGTTAGCTCTACTGCAGCGAACATGGATGAAATGACAAAACCAAGAATAGAGCCATCCTGAGGTCGGGTTTTCAACATTTTCAAACCATTCAGGTTTTCAGGGATGGGACCTGAAAGTTTGTTACTCGAAAAGTCAACATATTGCAGCTTCTCCAGCTTAGTTATCTCCCAAGGAATTGATCCATTGAAGAAATTCGACTCTAGCACAAGAATATGGAGGTTCTGGAGAGCTCCAATGAACTGTGGGATCCTTCCCTGAAATCTATTAAACCCCAGCTTGAGAACTTCCAAACTCTGAAATTTCTGAATAAAACCTGGAAAACTACCATTACAAAGGTTGTCAGGAAGGTCAAGGTAACTCAGATTTTTTGCCCTTTCCAGTTCACTTGGAATCTCTCCAATGAGGTTGTTCCCTCCAAGGTTCAGAAAAATGAGAGCGGTGCAATTTCCTAAACTTTTAGGAATTGTCCCACTCAGACTATTGTTTGAAAGATCAAGTAGCATCAATAAATTACCAGAATGATAGAAAGGTAAAGGGATCTGATGACTATAACGTTCGTTCCCAGATAATGATAAATATTTAATTTTTGCAACTCCGAGTTGTAATGGTATGTGGCCAGTGAAACTGTTCCCAGACAAGTCTATAACTTCTACATTCTTAATCAGGGAAGGGATATTTCCCTTGAGCTGGTTGTTTGCTAAATTTAATGTCGTCGGTGCCATGAATGACTGTAATTTAATATGTGGTGGGACAACTCCTTGGAGGTTATTGAAAGAGAGATCCAGGTATCCGAGATTTGGTAGATTAAATAGCCAGGGTGGAATTGTTCCTGATAAGTTGTTATAGGCTAAACTTAACGTTGCTAACTGAGTCATACTAGAAATGAAATCTGGGATGGTTCCTCCTAAAAGACATACACTTAGGTCCAAAAACTGAGGCCGAAAGTTGGGTGGAAGGAGAGGTTGAACTTCTTTCACAGTCAGCCCACTATCACTCATCATAATCATAATTGGATTTGCGTTCTTAAACAATGATGACAACGACCGGATTGTTCCATTCATTTTATTCTGACTGATTAGAAAAAACTCAAGTCTGGAAAGCTGGCTGATGCAACCTGGTAAATTTCCAGTAAGAAAGTTGTCCCACAAAGAGAGATACTCCAGAGAGGTCATGTTACAGATTGAGGTGGGTATGGTTCCTTCCAAAGAATTCTGCATCATATTCAAAGTATTAAGGCATCTCAGATTGGATATCAAAGGCGATAGGTGACCTGTTATGTTATTAAAAGCAAGCGATAATGTTTCTAATTTTGAAAGGTTCATGAAGGAAGCAGGTATGGGCCCCTGAAGTAAACAATTCCATGTTTGGAAATGGCGTAGTGAAGTTGTGTTGGCCAAAAAGGAAGGTAATGATCCATTAAATAGAGTACTTGAAATATCAAGAATTTCTAGTTAAGGAGCTGCAAACATGGAATGCAAATCGATGGTAACTTCAGAATTGTTGCGCACATAAAGTTTTTTAAGTTGAGGAAGTTAAGGGATCGGACCTCGTATGTTTGAGTTTGTGAAGTCAAGTTCCGAAGGGGAACTAATGTTGAACGTTGATGCATGGCTGGAAATGCAGTAGTTTTGTTAAAGTCTTTTGAAAGTAAGTTGGCGGCAAAACCTGAACCGAAGTCTGCCAGGGGTGTATTTGGTATGCTGCAAGTTTAGTTCATTTTGTAAAAGTGTGATACGCATTCCAGATTGTAAGGGATGTTCTGATGATGTAGTTGTTAGTTGACATTAAGTGTGTGGCTTAGGATTAATTTAAGTTTTTATATGTCTGCAAAGTAGGTATAAGTCAGTGTAAAAACTTTGCTTTATCTGCTGTAATTAAAACTCATTTCAAAATGCAGAAAACGCAACTCTTCATCTTGTCCAGCACTTTTTCTTTTCTTTGTTAAACTCCAGCACAAGAACACTAACATGGTATCAGAGCTTGGTTGATTCCAACAAAAAACTGAACATTTTCTTCTCCAAACAACACATCCAGCTCTCCTGGAAACTGCCTTGCATCAGACCTATTTTCTTTCAAACAAATGACTACTCAAACAGCTTCCCTTCTACCTCCTGTGTTCAACGGTGAACACTACCATATTTGGTCAATCAAAATGAAGGCTTACCTAAGGGGCCAAGGACTCTGGCAGTATGTAGAGGAAGAGAGACAACCCCCTCAGCTGGGACCAAATCCCACCCTCAACCAAATTCAAATGCATGAAGAGGAAGCATCAAAGGCTCCAAGAGCCCTATCCCATATCCACTCAACTGTCACATACCTTGTTTTTACAAGGATCATGGCATGCGAAACAGCCAAGGAATCATGGGACAAGTTGACATAAGAGTTCATGGGAAGTAGCACTACAAGAAACATGCAAGTTTTGAATTTAAGAAGGGAGTTTGAATCTTTAAGAATGCAGGAGGCTGAGAAAGTGAAAGAATATGTTGACAGGCTGATGAGCATTTTCAACAAAATCAGATTACTTGGAGTGGAAATGTTGGACAGCAGAATAGTGGAGAAGGTAATGGTGAGTTTGCCGGAAAGGTTTGAAGCCAAGATTTCATCCTTGGAGGACTCAAAGGACCTGACTCAGATCACTTTGACTGAGCTGGTCCATGCTCTGCAGGCACAAGAGCAAAGAAGGCTCATAAGGCTTGAAGATGCAAATGAAGGGGCAATGCTGGCAACCTACAAGGGCAAACCTATGCAAGGAAATTATAAAAAGTCTGCTGGAGAAAAGAGAGGAAAAGAAAGGTCCAACAACCAATGGAACAAAGCTGGTGGGATGCGAAATTTTCCAGCTTGTTCTCATTGCAAAAAGAAGGGACATGCGGAGTATAAATGCTGTTTCAGACCTAGTATACAGTGTAGGGCTTGCAAACAGTTTGGGCATATTGAAAAAGTATGCAGAAACAAGGGAGAGCAGCCCCAACAGCAAGCTCAAACAGCTGATGAACAATAGTCTGTGCAGAAGACAAAATAGTTGTTTATGGCCTCATCTAGCTTGATCCAAACTTGTGATGATACATGGCTGATTGACAGTGGGTGCACACATCACATGACACCTGATCTGAGTAGCTTTGTGAACATAGATTATTCTCATCGGTCAAAGATCAAGGTTGGGAATGGAGAGTGTGTGGAAGCAAGNAAAAAAAAAAAAAAAACATTTTGAAGATTTTCTTCTAAATCAACATCATTCAATATAATTAATGAGAGAAACAGAGGAACAGATGAGAGGAAATATGCCACACGGCTTCTCATTAAAGTAGCAGATATAAATACACAAGATTGTAACAGATTGGAAACTTATCACTAAAGATAAGTGTACAGCTGTAACTTAAAATACAAATTCAAAAATTAAACAAACAGAAGCAGTTACAACAATTTATGAGAAGGAATCGAAAGACGCTCTAATATGCCCCCTCAAGATTGGGGTCATGTGACGAGACCAATCTTGGATTTAAGTGAAAGAAACCGAGACCTGGGAAGAGGTTTTGTAAGGGCATCAGCAAGTTGATCATCACTTGAAACATGAGAAACACGTAAGGTGCCATTTTGAACTTGCTCACGAATAAAATGAAAACCAATGGCAACATGCTTCATCCTGGAGTGAAAAACTGGATTTGAGCACAAGTTGGTTGCCCCAATATTGTCATAATAAATCACAAGTGATTGAAGAAGAACAACACCAAGTTTTGTCAAGAGAGAACTTATCCAGTTAAGCTCTACAGCTGTGGCAGCTACTGACCTATATTCAGCCTCCGTAGAGGATCTAGCAATTGTTCTTTGCTTCTTGGAACTCCATGAGATAGGATTACGACCAATATAAACAACATAGGCACTAGTAGATGTGAAATCATCCTTGTTGCCAGCCCAGTCAAAATCAGAAAAGGCATGTAGAGAAAGCGGGTTTGCATCAGCAAAGGAATGTAAAGAGAGTGGTGAATCATGGTAAAGTTGAATGCCATCACTAAAGGAACCACACAGATAACACAGGAGACGTTTCACAAGAATCCAATGTTCTGAGGTTGGCTGATGCATGTATTGAGAAAGCTTGTTAACAGCAAAGGCAATGTCTGGCCATGTAATTAGTAAGTATTGTAAGCTGCCAACAATTGTTCTATACTCTGTGGGATCCTTGAGAGGAGAACATGAGTGCAATGGAATTGGAGGACTGGTAGGTAATGGAGTATGTACTGGTTTGGCATCCATCATTTTTGTACGAGTAAGAAGATCAACAATGTAACATCTTTGAGAGAGCAGTATACCATGATTATTTCGAATAACTTCCACACCAAGAAAATATGATAAGTGTCCCAGATCTTTTAGAGAAAATTGGTGAGAAAGCAGTTGCATAAACTTGTGAACCATAGCATCATCATTACTGGTAAGAATAATACCATCCACATAAACTAGAAGATAGAAACAGTTACCACTAGTGTTTAGGACAAAAAAGAGATGTATCGGCATGAGAATTGTGAAACCCTGAAGCAACAAGAAATTTGCGAAGCTCATGGTACCATGCTCGTGGAGCTTGTTTAAGCCCATAAATTGCTTTCCGAAGCTTGCAAACATGAGTTGGATTATCTAAATCAACAAAACCTTGAGGTTGGGACATATAAACATCGTCAGAGAGATGACCCTGCAAAAAGGCATTGTTTACATCCAGTTGCCGTAGAGACCAACCACGACTCACAACAAGGCTAAGAACTAAACGGATTGTAGTAGGCTTCACCACAGGACTAAAAGTGTCATGGTAGTCAATTCCTGGTCGTTGATGAAAGCCTTTCGCAACCAAGCATGCTTTATGCCTGTCAATAGAACCGTCAGAGTGACGTTTAGTTCAAAAAATCCACTTACATCTAACTATATTGTGACTAGAATCTGATTGGACAAGCTCCCATGTCCCATTTCGAACAAGAGCATCATATTCCTCAGACATGACCTGACGCCATTTTGGATCTTTGAGGGCTTGGGTCACAGTGGTTAGTTCAACATTACAAGGGTGAGAGAGTTGTGTTGAGAGATTAAGTTTCTGGATTGGTTTTCGAATTTTGTTTTTGGCTCTAGTTGTCATTGAATGTATGGGTGGTGGCTGTGAAGTTGTGTTATGGACGGGGATGTGTTTGGTTGGGTGTCGGATGAAAGTATAGAGGTGGTTGGTTGGATAGGAGACTCGTGTGGTATGTGTGAGGTTGTGCTGGTAGTAGGGAACGAAGCATCACATGAGGGTTGTCCTTAAGGTTGAACTGCAGATGGTGTGTTAAATGTCCCGGTGGAAGCTTGGTTGGTTGGAACTGTGATGATGGGAGGAATCCATGTGAAGACGGTGTCAGGTTGTGGACGAACAGATTGCATGGATAAAGTAAGAGAGGGAAGATGGACTCAACAAATTTGACATGACGAGAGACATACATTCTAGATGTGGGAGGATGATAGCACAGATAAGCACTTTAAGTAAGAGAATAGCCTAGAAAAATACAAGGCTTGGAACGAGACTCAAGTTTGTGAGATGAATAAGGATGTAACCATGGGTAGCACAAACAACCGAAAATCCTAAGTTTAGAGTAGTTTGGGGGAGAGCCAAAAATGTTTTCATAGGGAGATGATAGATTTAGTGTGGGAGTGGGCATACGATTTATTAGGTAAACAGCAGTGGCAAAGGCATGAATCCAAAACGTTGAAGGAAGTGATGCATGAGAGAAGAGAGTGAGACTTGTTTCGACAATGTGACGATGACGTCTTTCAGAGTACCCATTGTGTTCAAGAGTGTGTGGTGGAGTAGTAAGGTGAGTGATCCCATTGGTAGCAAGAAAAGGTCGAAGAGCCAAGTATTCACCACTATTATCGGAGTAAAGTGTATGAATTTTATTTTGAAAGTGTGTTTCCACAATGGCTTTAAATCTGATAAACACTTCTTTAACTTCAGATTTTTGTTGAAGGGGATAAAACCAAATGTATTTAGTGAAGTGATCAACAAATATGACATAATATTTAAAACCATCATGGGAGATAACAGGGGAAGTCCACACATCAAAGAAAATAATTTCAAGTGGTCGAGAGGAGACAACAATAGATGTAGAGAAAGGTAATTTATTGCTTTTATTGCAGTGACAAACATTACACAAAAAAT